CTGGGGTTGTTGTGGCCCAAGTGCAGGACCTGGTACTTGGCCTTGTTGAAGCCCAGACCATTAACATTAGCCCAACCACCTAATCTGTCCAAATCTCTCTGCAGAGCCTCCCTATCCTCATGCAGATCAACACTCCTGCCTAGCTTGGTGTCATCTGCAAACTTACTGATGATACACTCTATGTCCTTATCAAGATCATCAATAAATATGTTAAACAGAAACGGTCCCAACACTGAGCCCTGAGGACACCACTTGTGACTGGCCACCAGCTGGATTTGACTCCATTGCCCACCGCTCTTTGGGCCCGACTGTCCAGCCAGTGCTTGATCCAACAGATCATATGCTCATCAAGGCCATGAGCAGCCAGGTTTTTTAATGAGAGTTCTACCAGCAACGGTGTCAAATGCTTTTTGGAGGTCCAGATAGACAATATCCACAGTCTTTCCCTCGTCCAATAGTTGGGTCATCAGATTATAAAAGGAGATGAGGTTCTTCAGGCAGGACCTGCCTTTCACAAATCCATGCTGACTGGGCCTGATCCCCTGGTTATCCTCTGTATGTCTTCTAATAACACTCAATATGATCTGCTCCATGATCTTCCCTGGTACCATGGTCAGACTGACAGGTCTGTAATTTTCCAGATCCTCCAGTCCATTGGGACCTCCCCAGTTAGCCAGGACTTCAGGTAAATAATGGAAAGAGGCTTGGTGATCATGTCTGCCAACTTTTTCAACACCCTTGGATGTAGCCCATCTGGTCCCATAGACTTGTGTGTGTCTAAGTGGTGCAGCAGGTCTCTGACCACTTCCTCTTTAACTGTGATGACCTCATTCTGCATCCTCTCCCGGTCTCCTAGGTCATGTGGCTGTATATCCATGGAACAGCCAGTTCCACAGCTAAAGACTGAGGCAAAGTAGGTGTTGAGCACCTCAGCTTTTTCCTCATCCTTTGTTACTAAGATTCCCTTTGCATCCAATAAAGGATGGAGATTTTCCCTAATCCTTCTTTTGCTGTTAATGAACTTATAGAAACATTTTTTATTATCCTTAATAGCTGTAGCTAGTTTGAGCTCTTAGCTGTGCTTTGGTTCTCCTAATTTTCACCCTGCTTAGGTTCGCTTCATCTTTATAGACTTCATGACTGACCTGTTCCATCTTCCAAAGGTCACAGACTCTCCTTTTGTTCCTAAGGTCCAGCCAAAGGTCCCTATTTAGCCAGAGGCTGGTCTCTTACCCCGCTTACTGGTTTTTTGGCACATGGGGACAGCCTGCTCCTGTGCCTTTAAAACTTCTTTCTTGAAGTATGTCCAGCCTTTCTGGACTCCTTTATCCTTCAAGGCAGCCTCCCAAGGGATTTTGTCAATCAAGCTTCTGAGCAGGTCAAAGTCTGCCCTCTGGAAGTCAAAGGTGGGAGTTTTACTAACCCCTCTCCTTGTTTTTCCAAGTCCTGTGTCCAAGTCATTGATAAAGATGTTGAAGAGGACTGGGCCTAGGATGGAGCCCTGTGGGACCCCACTAGAGACCAGTCGCCAGCCTGGTGTTATCCCATTCACTGTCACCCTTTGTGCTTGACCTGTGAGCCAGTTGGTCACCCATTGTATAGCACAGTTGTCCAACTGTATGCTGGACATTTTGTCCAGGGGGATACTGTGAGAGAGAGCATCAAAATTCTTGCTTAAGTCCAGAAATATGACACCCACTAGCTTCCCTTGATCAACTAGGTGGGTTACCTTGTCATAAAAGGAAATTAACTTTGAGAAGCAGGGCTTTCTCCTTGAGAAGCCATGCTGGCTGTGACTGATGACTGTGTTGTCCTTCAGGTGTTTTTCAGTACCTCCCAGAAGAATCTTTTCCATAATTTTACCAAGCACTGAAGTTACACTGACTAGCCTGTAGTCTCCAGACCCCTCCTTCTTGCCCTTCTTGAATATTGAAAATAAGAAGTCCAAAGTGGGACTCAAGCGATCCTCACAAACTGCACAAACTGCCTGTGATTCCCTTGAGACTCCAGCTTACAGACTGCTATTCCTATCCTTGAAGGCATGGGATATTTAGGATTTACAAACAGGCATTTTTCCTGTCTATGATATTTTCCTAATGTTTGTGCTATTACTGTCTGTGACTGCCTTACAAGTATTTCAGAGAATTTGTTGTTTACTGGGAGGATTGCTCTTTGTGAACACATTACATGGAGTCAAAAGGAAATTCCCTAACTTCTCTTTAAAACTAACAGGCAATACACTGAAACTATAGGTTCCTCTAGAGCTAGAGCTCAGAGCTTGAGGCTATGAATAGAAGCTTTGCTGTGAAACATCTCAAGGTAAGCAAGGCACAGCAGGTAACGCTCTGCCCTCCAGTTCATCAGCAAAGCAGAGGGGAGACAGGGCATGTAATGCCCTGCAGCTATTCATCAGCCAAAAATGCAGTCAATTCCAAAGGGCTACTGACACTTGATTATGTGACCTTCCAAATTCTTTGCTTCCTTGAATTATCATAACTTCTTTTTCCTCTTAGCCCTAACTCTATTTAAAGAATTAATTATTAAAAGCTCCTGTGATTTCGTACCAGTTTTTCCCTGCCTATTTGACCAGCTTCACCTCCACTTCTCTAGCAGTTCATCACTTTCTCATGCTCCCTAGACTGAACATTTCAAGAGGTGAGAGAAAATAAAAGGGCATGGCCATAAAGAACAAGATGGAGTCATTCCATTTCACCACATCATTTTAGTGACTATTCTCTAGAATTCCCCTGGGAGATTGAATGAGGTGTACAAATTCTGCTTGCACTCTGCAGAAGACAGGCTGTTCTTCCCTAGGTCTCAGGGAAGCAGGAAAGGCATTCAAACAACCAAGGGAAGCAGGGGCTTCAGAGTGGCAAAACAGCTGGCCAAATGTACATGTCAGATTGCAACTCAAAGTATGACAAGTGCTACCCTGTATGCTTGTGATAAAGCACTTTATTAAGCGGAGCTGACATCATTCAAACTGAACTGTCTTCCTTGCACTCCCCTCTCCATCCTAACCAACTCCTTTCAAACCTCTCTGCCTCTCCCTGAGTTTTTAAATACGACAAGAAACAAACACAGGTCTCACCTGTGACTTTTTGCCTGGCTCCTTCAACAGATTGCTGTTCCATAGGTTGATCCTCACAGGCTATCTACTACCCTTTAGATAATATCTACTTCAGCAATAGTTGGCTGGAAAAAAGGAGACAAAGTCAGGATGAGATCCTTGTTTCTCACTAAGTTAGTCTTTCTACAATGTTTTCTTTTAAAATAAAATAAAACTATCTTTCATCAGAAAATTAAAAACCAAAACCAGGGACTGGCTGATGAAAAGCTGTCTAAAGCATGCAGAGATCTGCACCAACAGGCCTTAGGAAACTACCAAATTATCACATAGGTACACTGATTCCCATCAAGTAAGTTATGTCACCAAAAAGCACAGTATCAGAAGAGAGAAGGCAGTGTTATGGAATCTGTCAGGCCAGTTGCAAGTAACAGCTCATCCTGGTACCCCAAAAGTGTGTTCTATATCTTTTTCTACTCAGAATCAGCAATTATGGACACTAAGACTTGAAAAGCATGCATACTTGTGCCATTCCAAGTTTGGATCTCAGACATTAAAGATACTTTGTCAACATTGAAAATCCTTTTAAAGAAAATTGTTAACCTTACACTTTTCTGGAAAGGAAGCTTCATTTTTAGCTCCTACAAGCACTGGAATTCAGCTTGTGGCACACTCCTTTGACCACCCTTCCCTCATACCACCTCAAATGATGACATGCCAGAAAAGTAATCCTACATGACAGCAAATAATGTGCTTGTATTTTCTTGTGGCTTTTTTATTTCTGTTACATAGGACAATATATTCTAAGTAAAAACATTTTGCTTACAGGAAAAATTTACATTGTGTGTCATAGCTTAAAAACCTCAACTTAGCAGTAACTTAGAGACATGCTCTGTAGTTTTTCAAAATCAAAAAGAATCCTGTTTTGGTTGAGTTCTGATTCCTAATCTGGGCAATGGGTCTGCCACTGCTCAAACTGCAAGTTTTGGGCAGTATTTTTTTTTAAATTTATGAGTTTTCAATTTGTTCTGGGGTTTTTTTGTGTGTGTTTTTTTTTTGTGTGTGTTTTTTATTTTTGTTGCCATTGTTGGTTTTTTTCTGCTATTTACGCTTATATTTTGGGCATATTCCACTAGACTTTTAGTAAAGCATAAAAATTCATCTTGGTATTAAGCTGCTATGGAGAATATATTAAGAAGTTCCTAGTACACCCACATGAAAAAATATTTTTCAGTGTGGATTGGTACAACCTCAATTGCCAAAGGTTGGGCATGAGCACATACAAACATACACACTCAGAAACAACATAGGGTGAGAATGAACTTCAAGAAGCAGATTGAGAAAAAATCCATCAAACCTGAAATGACCAATCATTAATTCAAAATATGGACAGCTCTAAATATAAGTACAACTTCTAACGTGGTACGTTCCCATGTATTTTACCATTTGTCATGTTCTCCAGATCTCCTCATTCAAACAAATACCTAATACCGTCAAATTATTACAGCATTTAAAAATTTGTTTTAGAAGTGCAGTATATGTACGTCTTCTAATTTTTTATACCATACATATCTCATTCTAAAATTAGAGGTTTCCACAGTCATAAAAAAGCACGTAGACAAAATATTTTATGGTCTCTATAATAAATGCAAAGAAATTAATACAAACAAAACTTTGCTTAGCAAACTGTACATACATAAATATGTTCTTTGTTTTTTAATTTGACATTCAACATTTTTCCTCATAAAACCTTTTGCAATCTTACTTATTACACCCATTTTTTAAACCTTAAAAAAGTGCTTCTCAGATTTACACCTTGTGCATCCAAAGCAGAAGTTAGAACACCATGCCTGAAACAGAAACAACAGGGAATATTACACTGCCATACAAGATCCTTTAAAATTGTATGTTACAAATGCTCTAAAATTTCTTTAGCATTGGTTATTTTGTATTACTGCAGATACTGAGAAGGTATTTGACAAAATCTAGGTAATGGCTCATTTAGAGCAGCACGCAGGAAAGGATCTACAGTATCAAGTCCTCAGCTATGCATAGTACAGGGCAATGACCTGGATATAAAGTGGCTAAAAGATCCAGAATGCTGGTCAGAAGGACATTTCCCTCACACGTTACATTCTCCTAGTACCCAGGATGTGAGTATTGAAATGATGCTACTCAGGTAATGCGTTGTGCACTTTGATACTGATATACTTATGCTTTACTAACTGAGTGGCCAGCAGAGACAGATATGGATGCAGCAGTGGCTACAGCAGGTAGGTAAAGCTGCCACACTGAATCCTGTCACCCAGGATTTAAAAAAAACCCATCCTGCCTCCCTGCTAGCACTCCAACAAGGTCCCTGCTGTCTCACAGGTCTCCTTCATAACGGAGGTGGACCATTCATGTATTTTAGCATGGGGTGGAAAGAGCGGGCAAAATTGTTGGCCATAGTACAGCTGTAGTCCTCCTTGGTCATTGGCACCAGGCAAGCCAGGCCGATCAGGAGCAGCAAGAGCAGCTGAAGTGGCAGAGCGGCTCTCAGGACTCTGAGGAAGAAGGATGGGCGCCGCCATGCTGGCCTGGCCTCAGAAGGGGAGGAACCTGAGCCACCTCTTGTGGACCTGAGAAAAGAGGATGGACAGGTGAATACACCAAAACATCACTGCAGCAGAGGTTGCCCTTGAGCACTCAGCCTCCCCTGAAGGCTGATATACAATTTGTACATTTTTTGACTGATAACTGCAGAGGTATTTTTCACAGAACATGCTATTTCCCCAACACTTATTAAGAGACCCTGTATTTCTAGACTGAGTAGGAAAACACCGAATGGTCACAGGGGCTTTGTGATCCCGCAGCCCCTTCATCAAGTAAGGGGAAGATTCTCCACTTAAAGCATTGCGCTCTAGAGAAGTGGAAAACAAAAGGTAGGCCACAGCTGTCATCAATTTAAGGCACAGTGGCTAAAAAGGAAGCCTCCTTGTTTAAAATGGCAGTTGTATTTGATTTTCAGAAGTTTCTACATGTGTTTCTGTATACAAGGGTATAATGCATTAAGATTCAATTACATCAAACTTCAGTTAATCAACACAACAATATGCAGTCAACAGGGAGTAATTTTCTACTAAGTACATGATATTTTGAATCTTGCACTGAATCAGCAGTTGAAATCTATTTACTTGATTGGCTTGACACCATCACCTTCAGAATGATTTTCTCCATTTTGTCTTTGGATCTGACTTGAAATAGGATATAACTATTACACATGTCAGGGAAAGGTGAAACCTAACACAAATATTTCCAAAAGGGCACTTCAAATTAATCATAAAAACCCAGTATGTTTTTTCATGAAGGATAAAGACATAGATTTAACATCTTCCTTTTTGTCTCAAAACTGCCAGAGCTCAAATATATGGATGACAGTTTTTGAAAGAAAGGTGGATGACTGACGAGATTATACAAGTTATAATTCGATGGTCTCAGTGTGCTCTTTAAATGGCATGGGAAAGTATTGTATTTTAGCACTAGCCACAAATGGAAGAACTTGGAGCCTTCAAATAATTTGCTTCAAAAACTCCTCCATTAAGACATTAGGTCACAAATTTTGTCTTAGACATGTTGCTATAAAACATCTGCATAACTATGAAGCCCCCAAAAATCTATAGTTGCTAGGGTTTAAGAGATAGAAATGCTTATAAAGATGGATTTAGTCTCAACTTGAAGGTATGGGAGGTCAGGCTTCTTGACTGCAGTCAAATGCTCCCTAATAAAGCAAACAGGGACAGATAGTTCCTTAGTGATTTCTTGCTTTCCCTGTGTCCTTTTGAGCCTGTTGCCCAGATAAACCTGAATCTGTGTAAGAAAGCATGTGAAAAACAAAATATAATCTCCAAATCTACATCAGGCTTGGAAAGGGTCCCCTTCCCACATGTTCAGAAAAGAATTCTTGCTATGCTTGAGATTATTTTTGTCTTGTTCATACATGTGTATCAACCCACTATGAAGACTTCAAGAAAGCCAGACAGATTTGCTAAAGTTTAGATGACCAACAGACACACAAGCACTCAGGTATGCTAAGTGATTAACTTGATCTAAGTATCTCAGGAAGGAGTGGTGATCAAAACATCAGACTGCATGTAGATTTAATCTGCATTATTATAGCCCAGATGGAAAGCTTCTTATTGCATAATGTAAGATCATGTATTATAAAGAACATATTGAAAGGATATGGCACATTTAACAGCATCAGAGCATTCCCTATTAAAGTTCAATTAGATCAGGACTTCAAATGTCTGAGAATGCCAAGACAGAAAGTTAATGGACTGAGGTAGGAACAAAGGGAACAAGGAGTACTTAATTACTGTCCAAGCATTTGATTGCACAGTCTACCTATTTAGAAAGCTCTGATTGTGCAAATGTTGTTAGTCCCAATCAAGAAAGGCCATATTGCTGCAGCTTGTGCTTGATAATGAGCAAAGTCTGAATTTCCTCATTGACTCAGTTACTCTGGGGCAACACTGGATGTCAGGAGGGAAATTTTCAAAAAGCAGAACCAAAAAGGAGCCGGCAAAGTTAGCATCTAGTTTTTCTTACTTTTTTATTTAGCATCACAATCCAGCACTTTTTGTTTTGTTTTTTATCCCCCCAAAAAGAGTGGAATGAGTAACCTGCATGGTTGATTGCAACAAGGAACAATTTCGTTACGAAATTAAAAGACATCAAGGCAAAGATTTTCAAAACATTTTTTCTGCAGTGAAGTAGGGTGTTGAAAAATAGATACTGTATAGAAATAATTAAACAAGCAAATAATGAAACATGAAAACATCTTCAGAGGGGAACTTCTAAAAAGTTTGAGTGCGCCAATGCCTGTGCTTATTGCAGGTATGCCTCTGAAATCTGTGTAACTGGCTAAAAAAACGGAATAGCTCAGCCTAGAGTGTTTAATGGGTTTGGCAAGGAAAGACAGATAAAACTTTACATTGTTAATAAAAAAACACTGACTATTCATAACGGCCAGAACTCCTGTTTACTCCAGCAGGAAAAGGGAGATCTGAAGTACTGTGGAGAAAGTTGTAATTTCTTTTTCTAGAGCTTGCATCTTTAGCTGTCTCCTAATTGCTCCACCATTTGTCACACTGGTCCCTGCTTCAGAAGTGCAGGAAGTAAGGCCATCTGCTACTTGATCCATGCACAATTCCTACTAACTAGATGAAAGTGGAAGCACAGCTGTAAACCTGGCCAAAAATAAGCTTTTCCATGTCAAGAAATCTCAACTTAAGAACAACTCATGATTCAAGCAGAGCTGATAGGAGTAAATAAAGTGAGCTTAATGGGGAAGTGACTGATGGAATGCAGACAACAGGCTTACATTAAAAAAGGTACTGCTGGGCTAGTAGGATGTCATACTGGACTTAATTAAGGATGAGTCTTGATTTACTATCTTTATGAAAAGACTATGGCACAAAATATAAGAACAGCAAATTTCATCTGTATGATGACAGAAGTTGACAGACTTTAAATACAAAATAGGAATGGTTTCTTGCACAGAAAAAATGTGGGTGAATACAATAGGTCTAAAAGTATCTCAAGATTATAGTGTGTCTTCTGCTAGAAATTTGGAAGTTCACACTCTGAAGATAATGGAGAAAATCTAGAACCCTTTGACACAGGAAAGCCACAAACAAATCATGTGGCTTGTGAAAGCTCTGAAAAGGGATAAAAGAAATTTTAAAGTATATTTAAGTTCAAGATTTCCAGACAAGAAAATGGGTTGTTTTAATGATGTTCTATAAACACTGGTCAGATCTCACCTGGTGCAGTTTGCATTATTTTGGTTAACATACTTCTGAAAGGTGACGTCAAATATATACTAGCTTAAAGGTGTCAGAAAAATGGAACCTTTCTCACATGAACTTAAAGAGCTGAGATAACCAATATGTTCTGGTTTGGTTTGGTGGGTTTTTTGGTAGCAGGTGAAGGGCCCCAGGAGTGGCTCCGGTAAGAAGCTGCGAAGCTCCCCCTGCTTCAAATCCAGCCAAGGAGCCATTAGAGGGACAATAGATGTGCCTCAGTGATTAACATGTGAAAAAAATGAAATGAGACCTGAGCAGAAAAGCACTTAGGGGAGAAGAGCTGTGTTGGGGAAGGAGAGCAGTGCTGGTGGTTGGTGAGAAAGAAGAAGATGCCCAAGTAGGAGTTTCTATGCAACCTACGAGATGGCAGCTGTCCCCCTGCACTCATGGGAGGAACATGGTGGAACATTCCCTGAAGGTGCCAGGAGGGATGAACTTGGCCAGTGGACTCTGATTATGCAGCTTTGGAAGATCCTGGTGCCAGGGGAGTTTATTGGAATAGCTCTGGACCTCGTGGGAAGGACTCATGAAGGAGAGGTTCGGGGAGGACTCTCTCCCATGGCAGGGACCCCATGGGGAAGCAGGGAAGGACTGTAAGGAATCCTTCTTCCTGAGGAGGAAGGAGCATCAAGAACCATCAGCCTGTGAACTGACTCTAAACCCCATCCCCTGTTCCCCTGTGCCGCTGGGGGGAAGGAGGGAGAGAAACTGGGAACAAAGTGATTTGGGCCCGGGAAGAAGGGAGGGGTGGGGTAACATATGCAAGCCCTGCTCTTTGTGTTGTGTGTGTCCTGTGTGTGTTTGATTTGTGTGCAATTAAATTACTATTTTTTCCCCAAGTTGAGTCTGTTTTGCACAGGACCTTAATCAGTGAAGAACCCTCCTTGTCCTTTGTCTCAACCCATGAACTTTGTCCTCCTCATACCAGAGTATGTGTGTATTGGGAGGGGGGG